TCCATTTAAAACTGTTATCTTAACGAAATAGTAATGGTTACTAATTCTTGTTAAATTGTGGAACATCTTGGCAACAACAGGCTACCGGGCTTGTACCGCTGTTGCTTTTATATATTTAATTTATGATTAATCGTTTGCGTATAGCTGATTTCCTCAATTGTTTTTCTTTTTCTTTACAGCAAATCAAGGATCAAAACGTAACCTTTAATCTGTTGATATTCTACATCGATATCATACATTACTACAAATTACACAATTCAATTTTGGGAAACAAAATTTGTAATGGTCTTTGTTCTACGATGCGGAAAACGGCCTTTCACGATTTTCATATTTTTGAGGGTATATTTTTGTCGGAAAAGGCAATTAGGACATCACATTTCCCGGTATTGCTAGACGTACACATTCTTCGAAGGAAATCGATATCGACGCTGAGAGCGGATATTATCGGAGACGTGAATCGTCGTCTGAGCACCTTTAATATATTGCAATCGAGAATCATGTTGAACATGGGGGAGTCGTCGCGGAATCTTTATCGAAAGGCCACGACGATTAGGAGTGCGTGAGATGACGATCGAAAGTCACGTGCGCCGACGAGGGAGACGGGAATCAAAATATGAAAATTAGGGTCTGTGATGAATTTAGAGGCAAATGAGGAATACTGAAATAACAAATTATATTTATTAATTAGAAAATGCATGAGGAGCGCAAAGGTGTGTGATTTATCTCAATATAGATTACTTGCAAATCAATCTTGGTAGAGGTATAGGGGAGAAGTAGTTCTGTAATTTCACCTAAGATTTGGATACAATACTGTTTGACATGACAAAAAGGTATGGATAAAATAATCGCTCAAACAGAAAGAGGGGAGGAGAAGAATCACAACGTCAAGGCCTCACAGGATCAAAACCTTGAGTTCTTCCAGCCCGATAGGAATTCATCCCACGACCAATTGCTTTCTCTCCCTCTCCCATCTCTTTTCTCTCTTCCTAATAGTAATTCCGTCGGCGGCGGGGGCTATGAGAGCCTAAACGGAACGTGAAAAGACAAAAGGCCATCGCACGGGGCACGAAAGATGCCGTCCAGGCGGATGAGAGCAGACTCGACGGCGCCACCTCGCCACGCGCGCGGAGGCCCGTCGTCTCGCATGCACATCAACACACGGGTAGCACGCAGCCAGCGACGCACCAGCCGGCGTCGTCCGCTATTTCGTCCTCGCCGGGTAAAATGCGTCCGCTAATACCAATGGCAGTCTTCTGGCGCCAGCCTGGGTTAAAGGTGTCTTACCAATCTCATGAAATGCACAGATCATACATCGCGACAGAAATCACGCAGTATCGCTTACTGCTTGTGATATGGGCATATTTACTTGGATATGAGATGAAACATACCCGGCTCTTTTTTCAGTTCAAAACAATGCATGCCATGTTCATGGGTATGTCGACATCAGAACTGATAAAAGAAGTATTATTGTCTTCTAAGTCTAATATTGTTGAATGATTGTTATCATGATATTCCATTAAACTATACCAACTAAATATTTTACCTGTCTTAATATTCAAGTAAGTTAATAAATATTTCATGTTTCCAATCATTTCCAATAAGTATTCAAGACTGAGAGCCAAATGATCTTCATTCGCGCTTCTAAAACATATTGTGGTAATTAACTTTTCTTCATATTCGTTCTTTCTAAATTTCCTGTATGAAATAGAATTATAACACCGTACAAATTCATCATTGTATTAACTTCATTGAATAGCTTTCTTCTTCAAAGTGAAAAAAATAATAATATAAGAAATGACTTAAATTAGAGTTTCACAGCTATATCCCCCCCCCCCCACCAGATTGATGTATAATGCATTTTGTGATACCACAATGACGTCTGTTTGCGTAAAGAATATGAAAGACCTGTCCCATAATAATTTGCTACAAAAGTTGCTAAGAAACGGATAGTAGCATTAAGAGCTAATGATCATCATTTCTCAGCACTGGCGACTGGTAATAAACCATCTGACGTGCACGACGAATGATTATCCCTTCAATCATACACGTACTGACTCCTAGTCTAGAATTACAAGACCTTGGTGTCCGAATACCACGAACAGGTGATTCGAGATGGAGAGAGGACTAGGACACTACATCCAGGCCACATCATGCTCTTATTAATCGGGTGTCCTATAGACCCAAACAATCCTGTGACCCTTCCCTTCCCATGAAGTTCATGAACAACTATAACACAATTTCCTTGCGAGATTTAATCAACATGAAATTTAATTTATATTAAGATATTTAAATATTTTAAATATTTTCATAGCTATATTGAAGCCAGTTTCGTTTTAGTTATTGCCGTAGAACTGAGGGGAAGACGAGAAAATGAATTACATTTTATATTCTTTTCTGAAAATCAGATACATGCCACTCCGTATACAGCTTGTAAATTAAGAGTTTGATAACCAATGCATTTCTATGAATGGTAAAAGCTTAAAACCCTTATTAGTAGATCTGGAAAAAAAAAAAAAATAAAGATGCGAGAAAAATACGAAGGAATTAAGAACGAGACAAGATGCTTTAAACACACTTATTCAATTTACTTATTTTTAATTTATAGGTTTGTTTGTGCTATAATTTTCCATTCCAAATATTACATCTTTACAATATCTTCAAAATAAAGCTGATTATAAAGACTATCCGTGCACATACACCTTCCATCAAGCAGCACAGAGCGATCTTCTTCGGAAGCCAGGCTGATAGGGGGACCATTATCGCTAGTGGGAGACGTTCTTCTCTCTCGCACGACTCCGGCGACAAAAACAAAGCTGCCCGACTCCGTGGCGCCTCGTTAATAAAATATGGAGCGACACCTGCGGCCGCCGTGGAATTGAAATTACAGGCGGTACGGTGAGTTTTTTCTGTTCTTTCCTGGAGGAGAATATTTCTTTTACCTTTCAATGCCAAGGCAAAGGTAAAAATGGCCATCCTTTGTGCTCCCATGCATGCAGACAATATGGTATCACATATCATTTTTTAATGATTCATCGTTCATACATGTCAGGTATAGGGCCTATAAATACTATAGCACAGGTAGATTGTCCGCTGTGTGAAACTTATTTCAGGTGTATAGAGATCGGAGAGATGCTTACAAAAGCATTTTTACAATAAAAAGATGAATAATAACAAATAAATCAATATAAAAGCATGAAATGAGAAATTACTTGTTTTTGTCCCGATAAGCAATTGCATTGCATTTACCCTACAGGCTGGTCGATGAAAGGTAAAGCATTTCTTGAAGCAACACACATTTCAGAAAATCAATACAGTTGTTTCAAAACTTCTATTGGAATACACAAAATGATAAAGATGCCAAAAGCCGCGTGTAGGAAATCAATGAAGAGAACAATACCACCGTTTGAAATTGAAGAAGCTTTGTCAGAATGAACATGCATGGTCTAACAGTAAATATAATAGAAAACCGAATTTATGGGCCTATAATCATAATGCCATATAGTAAGTAATTATTCTGTGACTTTTACACACCTTGTGAGATAAAAGACATTTAATGAGTGAGTGACATCGAGAAGGAAAGGCTTTAATCACTGACGATTAAGATATGAGAATTTGATAGTGATCAAAGAAGCAAATAAAAATGCTGGGGATTTTTCAAAACATTTTATATTGAGTTTAGTTTCTGTTTCATTTTCATGTCTATCAATATAGATCGTGAAAATTAAGAATAATTATTTCCTGTATATTTCGGTTACATTGTACTCTAATCCCATTTTATAATTCAAGAAATTAAATTTGATTTGGATTTTCATTTTGTTGTGGAATGAAAATTAGCACTACAAAATTAATGTTTGATAGAATCGATATAATATTTTGTTCTAAGGATTGTTACAAGGCCTGAACGTGTAATCATGATCAGATAAAGAATCTGAAATGTGTTCTCTAATAGATGCCTCTTTCATTTTTTTCCCATTTTTTTATTTGCAATGTATTGAAGTGAACTGATTTATCTTCAATGGTTTTAAATCAAAACATAAGGAAAAAACAGACGTGGGAAGGTAGCCTCCCCTTTAATGAACTAGTCAAGAGTTCGTTTATGTAGGTTTACTTTTGCAACGTTAATTTTTAGTACAACTTACAAGTTCTAATAATTATCAAAAGGTATATAATGTATCGTTCTGTCAAAATTATAATTATACAAAATCTACATTCTACAAAAAATATAGAAGAAAGAAAAAAAAGTCACCTGTTCTACTCTTCTACAATGGAAAATAGAAAGATATACAATGGCACACATTCATAAGGAATTTTGCAAACAACATTTTACAGCAAGCTCATCCTTTTAATACGCAGATGCGTTGTATGAATACCCATCTTTTTCATGCTGCATAGACACACAACTTCATTACGATCAAAGAAATAATGACAAAATAGCAACAAAAAATTATACACTTTCAAACAAAGAACGTGGAATTGAAAAGTTTGGTGTGAACAAACAAGGTTGGCGGACAATAGAGCCATGCTGGCGAACCCCAGCGCCAGGTGGACGGGGCAAGGAGCGCACAAAGCACCGGTGATGATGGCTTCATCTCAATACCAGCTCAGACACGTCTGATTTAAGTTCTTCTCCTAAATCGTTTATCTTAATTCTGAAAATAACATTTCTCTAGATCTAACTAAGCATATAAATGTCCAAAATCTGTAAAACATAAAGCCACAGAGAACTATATTTGGAACAAGCCTCACAACACTGCTGTAAGTGCTGCTTGTAAGTTTCGGAACGATGGTTGAAAGGTTCTTTCTCGTTGTAATTGGAATCTATTTTGTATTCAATAATGCATAATAAAATCAATGGATCGAAACTATCATTGATGGCTGGGTTACTAAACTGCAAGCATTGGAAATTGATAACCAAGAAGTATACAAAATGGGTATAATACGATATTAATCGAGTCAGCTCAGTATAAATTGATTATACGCTCAATTAAAACTAAACTCACCATTTTTTCTTTGAGGATTCGCTTGTTTTCTCCGCTTGCACCTGATTATAGCGGAATCTGCCATAGTAGCTCCCATACGTAGGTATGTTCCAAAACACAAGCCAGTCGGCAGAAGAAGGCAGAATCCCACAGTCCCAAATATCAGAGATTCTGCGGGGCCTAGGAATCACCAAGAGTTAAAAATCACATAAAGGCCAGATAGCGAGGTATAGAAGCTTAGGTATAGACGGTATGGTATACCAGGCAAGTTGTGGGAGGTTATCGGCCCTTATCACCGATCGCGAAGCTTGCTGCTAGCACACTGAAAGCTGGCTGGCGCCTAGCCGACCATCCCGGGTGCGCGACCGCCAGTCAGTCGCTCAACTCTCATCCATTACGTCACGTCAAGGGGATTCACGCTCCAGCGGGCCCTATCGCCAATCAACGCATGTTGTACACCGCTCTGTCTATCTTTGTAGTAGTATTCTACGCACACACACGGATATTTTTGTATTGCCTAAACCGTTGAGTGTGTGTCACACTTCGGGATTTGTGGTCAAACCGTGGCACGTGGGCCTTTGTTTACGTCGCGCGACTGGCTCTTCCCACAGCTTACCCATTACACACACTCTGCACACACACTCGATAGAGTCACTGGTTGACGTGCCTTGGGAAAACGCTCGTAAGGGATCATCTCAGAATACAAAATCAAAGAAAATGACATTCTTCTCATACCGTCTTTTGAAAATCCGTCTCCTGGTTTTCTTTGGAAAGGAGGCGAGGGTGCGTTTAAACAGTCGTATATCAAACTAAACTTCTAAAGTCTGAAGAATGTAAGCGATACCTCTTTAGTTTGAGCCCTCAGTTGTCATTTGCCAAAAGTTTCGAGCAGGTATATGAAATGCCGAGAAAAGAATGCCCCACTGCATAATAGCAAAGACTGTCTACGAATCATACAAACTTTAAGTTATTAATTGTTTTGAGATTGACTGTTACTATGCCTACTATATTTTACTACTGCTTCTTTACTACTACTACTACCACTACAATTACTACTACTACTTCTACAGTTCTACTACCTACTACACAACTTCTACTTCTAAAGGTAGTCAATTTCGCTTGCATGCCTAAAACAACATAATATAGAGATATCTTTCGTCTGGGGCAGAAAAAAGGCCAACATTAAAAGTACTCCCTACAATTTGGAAACCGATATCTGATGATATTCGACCAATCATCTTATCTTCTTTTTGGATCACCGTCCAGCAGATTCGAAGTCCAGCAAATTAATGCCTTGTGACTCATCTCTTATAAAATCAATGCATGACTATTTCACGAAATATCAATCTCGCAGATCGATTTTAACCACTAATCCCTTGTAAAGTATTTTGTTCATGAAATCAGAATGACTTCATTTCAAAACTGTTGATTATGTTAAATAATCACAAATGACGCCATTCATATAGGACCTACCTACTCGGTTCAGTTATGACAATA